ACGCGCGGCCTCTGAGGTGATTATCGCGTTTAGGTCCTCCCCGTTGACTTTTACCGATCAACAGTATTGCTCGCAGGATCCATTTCTCGGCCAGGCTGCTTTACGTGCTGCCACAAGGACGTGGTGCTACGGCCCTCAGAATGCCTTCCCCGACTTTGACTTCGAGCTTCCTACATCGAGCGCGTCGTTGGAGGAGTCTTCCGGTGTAGTCAATGTTCCATTATCGGACCCCAGCTTCTCCCCCGGTAACGGCACAGCAATACTGCAGAAATACCAAGAAACCTGCCCGATTCAATACCGACCACCTGACCTTCAGGTCTTCCAGACAGTCGGAACGCGTGACATGCTGTATCCCGCCAATGTCCGGCTTCACAAGGCTTTGAGGCGATTGAGGCAAGACGTGGTACAAACCGAATTTCATTTGGTATGTCCATTACCCGGCCATTCAATCGATCACATAGCACCGACTCCGGTAATACAATGCCACCTGTATATAGTACCCCGGTATGACACATGTGTTCAGTGTCACATCGCTCGCAAATGAAGGAGCGGATGTGAAGCGAAAGATAGCAAGAGCGATCTTGCGCCGGAGAGAGGAGGAAGTCTTTTGAAACGTTCTCTCCGCCTGTTTTCGACCCTGTTCAGTTATCAACCAGATTTACTAGTTGTTTGCGCGCGAAGATAGAGAAAGGCTACCGATTGTGCGTTCTAACATGTTACGATCTACCATGATACGATTTACTCTAGAGCGAGACTCGGACCCAGAGACATAGCCTATCACCAGTACATCATGGAGTGTATCTGGTAAAACATTCCCCATTACAACCTGAAGGACAAACATGTGGCAGAATGGAGAGAGGGCAATGGCAGGACATAGAAGGTGAGGAATATTCAGTCATATTTGCGGATTCGAGGACAAGTGCTATGAGGTTCTTCGATGTCGTATAAAGAAAGCAGGAGGCGGTGATGCTGTGTGATCATTCACCTGTCCTGGATCACCTGTATCTCTCAATGAACAGCATATTCGACTCGGTCGCAGAAGCTTGTCCCTACCATGTTTGATGGTTGTCGAGGTGCAGGGCGAATATCTCCCGAGATGAAACTCGCATTCTGAAGATCAGTAGTAGTTTCGTCCTTCCAAGTCCCATGAAGTATCCAGACGGGACCTTGACTTGCATCCAAAATGATCATAGACTTCCCGGCTTATCTCGCGAAATTTCGTATCGGATTACTGCTTCACCTTCGTGACAGTCAGATGACGAAGAGCTGCCCCTCCACAACCGAAATGCGAGCCGTGGGCTCCAGGCTGATAGCTGGACTAAACGTAGAATGAGTTGCGATGTACCTGTTACAACATGGTTTCACTGCAGACATTCGAAAGATACCGGACTAGAGTACAGCCTGCCTGGTGCTGCATAGCCCATTTCAGCTAGGCGGCGAGAGAATCTGGCAGCTCTCAATCGAATGAAAGTCCACGTCAAGCAGGAGTTCCTGATTGATCCGCCAACCCTTCAACCTCGAATAGAAGTCCACGACTATTTCTCGTCCGCACAGATCCAACAAGAACGCAAATCGAGGTTCAAGCTTATCGACGGAGCTGAACACTTCCTGGGTAATCCGGATATACCCCTCGTCATTCCAAGCGCTTGGTTTTCCCACGGGGTCCGGAATCAACCCAACAGGGTACAATTCCTTTCCTTTCTCACGATAACCGATTTGGAGGCAAGCCTATCAAGCGATGACAATCACGCATGCTTCAGCAAGAGGAAAACATTTTACGAGACTGAAAATAGGATAACTCTCACTCTCCTGTAATTGTTCGACAGATTTTCTTTCGACACGAATTGCGCCCCGCCGGCGTTGCTTCGAATGACTTGTTGTAGAGTTTGTACGAGATCCTTGTGTTGCAGTAGCGGAACAAGCTGCGAGGGTTGCTCGTTCTTTTCAGGCACTTGTATGTATCGGGAACCGGGAAAGAGTTCCTTTGCCAGGTTCTGCATCCCGGCAGAGATGTTGGACCATACCGTACCTGCATAGGAAGATCCTCCGGCGACCGTTTGGCTGGGAGACTCAGTATGGGAAGCGTCATGAGAGCTGTCGTCGGACGTGATGACGTTGGTGCTTGATGCACCGTCGGCTTTAATCTCAGCATCGAGAGACATGATATCAGGCTCGAAGGAAGATTTGGGATCAGTGCAGGGAGTGTCGAACTGGAGGAAGCCCTTTCTGAGCCGCAACCTGGAGTCTAGACACCCTTATATGTGTTCTTGGAGAGGAGATGACTCCCTGTTTCATCCGTCCTTTCCTTTCATCTTGAGCGATGACGAGTCTAATTGATGACAGGCAGGGACAGAGGCAGAGTAAGGGGAGAGAGGGAGGCAGGGAAGGAGAGAGGCAAGAGATGCAAAAGTAACTGAAATATTACAGCGTATGCTCACCGGATATCCTCAGTCAGAGACGATAAAGTCATCTTCAATTGTCAAGCAGGGTCAGGGCAATTGTGAACCCAATTTACGCCCACCCTCCGCACTAGCGCATCGTTGCCCGGCTTCCTGACGAGTAATGCCTGCGCCGGATGAGGTAGTGAGAGAGTACTTTGTTTCATGACGAGGACAAAAATCGCGCTGACTTGACGCCACTTATTTGCCCCTAGAGAAAGCAAGGCGGTTTAGCTACAATATCTCTTCAAGCTAGGAAGAGCTACGCGCTTTGTTCGGTCATATCGCTGTCGAAGATGACCGTCATCGGTTCAGTATCTCAGTATAAAGTAGTGCGCTAGTCATGGACTCTCGAGTCTGAAGCATGGGCGGCCGAATTGACATCGGCTGCGCAAACAGGTATTACGCCGCTCAATTAGCACAAAAACGCATTGGACGTCCAGATCGTTCCATTTCCCAGTAGATAACCCTCCTCATCCCAATAGTACCGCGATCATCCTCTTGCTAGTATACCAGTACATTGTTCGACCAGACAATTTGTGGTCGGATACTGTAATCCTCATCCATTGTCCGTTGCTAAAACCTTCCAGCGTGGTTGCTTATAGTCTTGCTTTCAATGATCGTAGAAGTAACGTAAACCCTTCCTCCGCCTCCTTGTGGCTCTTCCTCAATTTTGGTCGAGCCGGTCTCCCATATCTCGTGGTGACGAATTTTGCCACTGTAGCAATGACATCTCGATAGTTAGCCATCATTGAGCATCCTAGAACCAGGGAAATGTGTAATATACCGTGTATGTCGTTTCTGAGCACGAGTTCATGTGGTCGTTCATCTACCGCCCATTTGTTGTAATTGTAACATGTGTTGACACTGTCAAGCCACCAGTAGGTTTATGTACCACGTCAGTCGATGTATCTGATGATACTTACAAGCGAGAAGGAAACGGGAAAGGATGACTCACTCGAGGTGAACAGATCATCGCTCCGGGCATATTGACCGGTCTACCGCAGACGATACATGTAGTCATGGTCGGATGCTGCGAATGAAAGAGATACGCCACGTGCTCGATCAGCATCTAAGCGATCGGATCTGGAGGAAGAATCGCTGACATGCTTACCATCGATCCCCATTCGGCCATCGCGTGTTGCGAGCATAAACATAGACTAGGATTCATCTCCGAATGGCGGACAGGCGGGAAAGGACAACCCATATACTGGGAGCAGCGACAGTGGTAGATTTAGTATAAGGCGAGGGGGCAATCACGACGACTGAGGAGTTGAAGCTTACGCCGCATCTGATCCCTAGAGGACCTGGAGCTACCGCTTGCGGGGGTCTTGGGCGGCGGAAATTGAACATTTTATTATAGAACTGTTGTTTTCCAGGCAGTCCAGTCGCTCTTGGGGTGACCTTTGGCCTGCGGGCTAGACCGCAAGGGCTTTTGTGTGATTGATGCAGAGGCTTTCAAGAGCGCAAGAGCAGTCCACATGGCTGACATGACGCAGCAGCGCTCTGATATATGAGTCGACGAGACGCAAAAGGTGACTCGACTACGACTAACCGCTCGCTCGGTCAATTGGAAAAACATGAAAACCTTCCGGATTGGCCGTACATCGATGCCCATGACCGTTCGCCGACCATCAAGGAACGCAAGAGAGAATGCATCAAAAGGAGAAAAAAGTTCAAGATCTGATGTCAGATCCACCTGAAGGCACCCTCGATCGCAAGAAGCCTCCTCAGCACGCCGCGTCAGCGTCAGAAAATCCACCTCTCGAGCCTTCCTTTGTCCTCGGTGATGGAATCGACTCGTATGCGATCGCAGCGGATCTCATCCGACGTGGCAGGCGCATGTACAGCGATCAGGGCACGAAGGACAGAAACACGCTGCGAGCAGAGGTTCACAAGAAAGCCACTTCGATGGTAGAAGAACCCTCTTTTCGTCTGCAACATTCGGTGGATCGAAAAGCGACGATCATTAATTGCTCGCGACCTGCTGATGTGATGAGAGCCGTCACGAGACCCGGTCCCTACATACGTTGCAGGATCAGCCGTTCCGAGCGACATGCCACGATCTACTGTTGCACTGTTGTCTGAAGCAAGCTCCTATCGCCGTAGCCTTGTCGCATATCCCATGTCGCATCGATCGCTGCATCGCGAACCTCTGTCTGAAACATCAACGGGCATCCTCTATGCCCGAAGTGGCTTTTCCACGCCACAACGCGGGCAGGCAGGCGCAAGCGACCGTCCCTCGAAACGCAGATCCGACAAAAACGGATCTGACTCGGACCCTTTCACAGCTTCTACCTTACCACGAGCTCGGATCCGCATAGTCGACGTCATACGTCGTTCATCACCAAATCGCCGAAGGTCATCAGGGATCAGGGATCAGGCAAATCGAATCCCCGATGATGTTGTCATCAGATCACTAGATTATAGGTATACGGAAAAATACAAGCTCAAATGCACGGCTGGCCCGGTCCAGCAGGCGGTGTCGAATTAGTATAAAGAGAATCAATGGGAAACCCGATCAAAGTCGAAAGCAAGCGTGCGGTCCATAAGGTCAAGAATGCCGAAAGAGACGAAGGAATGAAGAAGAAAGGTTCGTGCTGTGATCCATGATCATCTCTGCAAGTATCACTACTTGCGCTTGGTGAAAAGCTGTGCAAGAAAGGAGTCCGGCCATCTAAATTCAGCCGAGTGCCCGGAAAACGCAAAAGGTAAAATTCTAGCGCGGATCGCCCAGACGAACCTTGTTCAACAAGGCCAGAACCTTGGGTACGTTAAGCTGGACGTATTCCAGGTCGAGCACCGTGTTGTTGTCTTTTTGCTGTGTTGAGGATTGTGCCGGTGTATGATTGACGTTAGCTAGGGGATTTCTATGTTGCGATACAGCAGCAGACTTACCTTTTCTAGCAAGTCGTCGATCTTGAGATCCATCTCGAGGATAGGCTTGTCCCTCCCCTTGAAATGCAGTGCAATGACGAACGTCCCCGGTGTCGGCGAGGTGACCATGAAAAAGATGTTTTGCCGTCTAACGAAGTTCACGTCAGGACTCAGTCACCTGGATGACAGAAGCCACGCCTTTTCTTGACTCACCTGTTGTCCGGCACATTACTTTCCATGATGATCCCCTCCTTCTCGAATTGCACATGCGTGAAGCGGTACGGCCCTAACGACGTCTGTTTGACCGGTTTCTTCTCCTTTCCATTCACCGTCAAGACGCCCACCCCGGTATTTCCCTTGTTATCCTTAGCTCCGACCTCTCGTACGTTCTGCAAGTACGCCTTGTATTGTTCGAGCTGTGACCGCAAATAGTTGTTGTGATCGCATATCGTCCGGTAGACGGCCTCGAGCGAGTTGGTCTCGAGCAGAGCCTTTTCCCGCATGTTGCCCAGGTGGACGAGCTCGGCAGCTACTTCTTCCCGCATCAACTGATAGTCATCGGCGATGGTCACCACCATGGCTTCTTCCAGCTCGCGCAGCATCTCCTTGACCTTGAGTCCCTTCTTGACCAGCGTGGGATCTTTGGCTGTCGCAGCCCGGTCGGCGATCGTTGGCAAGTTGATGGGTTTCCGATCTGCCAACTGGGGTATCGATCGGATCAACTGGACAAAGATGGCTTTGGTCTCCATGTAGAGTATATCGTTCTGCGTCAAGTCGTTCTCGGCCATCAACGCTGTAGTGATATCCTGGATCGGCGTCTCCCACCGGCTATAGAGAGCGAGATCGATAGCCTTGTTCTGGTTCCGAGGTACTTGCTGGTGCGCCGGACCAAGTTCGTCCAATAGTACACGCAGGTGATGTCGGTCGTTGGGTGACTGTATGAGATGCGAGACGACGGTCAGCATGACGTCGTTGACGTGATGATGATGTACTTACGAGAATGTCCATGTGTTGTGTGAGGAGGGAATGTGTGTTGTAAAGTTCGTTGAGGGTGATGCTGATCTGTAGGTCTTTCTTTGACAAGGCCATGTATTGGTCGAGCTGCAGCATATCAACCACTTGTCAGTCATCCTCGTCTTCAATCGCACCGCCCTACACGCCACGACCCACCTCGAGCGAATCGTAAAAGTCGCCGACTTCGCACAACGAGTTCAAGAACCCGTTCATCCTCGCCTTGTTCATCTCGACAAACGGGTTCAGCGTGGCCATATAAGCCTCTTTACTATGGCTCGGCTTGTTCGCGAGGTTCTGCAGCATCTTGGCGATCAGGGTCAACGTCCGACGAGGGTTCTTTGCTGGGACGCCGTCGACGAGCATGTACGCTTGAGGGGTGACGATGGCGGGGTTGATGAACCGGAGGAAGAAGAACCCTCCGATAAGCGAGCAGAGTGCGAATTCGGTGACTTCTGGGTATTTCCGCTGCAAGTTGTCATCTAGTCGTCAGCCAGCAAGATCACGGGTTCAGGGATGGCCTCCGCACTCACCCTCGTCAGACTCCGGATCTGTTTGCAGATCCATCGAATCCCGTACGGCACCATTTCTAGACTCGCAATAATCGTATCCAGGAAACTATTGGCGATCTCCATCAACATTTGTAGGCGAGGTTGAATAATCGCCTGAACGTCAGGATGAGCGGCGGCAATCTCGGGTGAGACGCCTCGAGGCAAGTCGGCGGGCATCCGACCCTCCTGGTCCAGCTGCTGCATCATCTGCTCGTAAACCTGCGAAGCCGACTCTGTATCAACCTCTGTCCTCCTTATAAGCAATGACCATGCGTCCGCTCACCTTCAACGGGTTGATCTCGAGGTTCAGGTCCTTGTGCTCGATTAAGCTGTTGATCTTCTCCGACAACGTTCCCTTTAAATAACTCTGTCCCGGTCCTCTTCGCGTATACGTCGTCATCATCCGTGACACAGGCGTGTTGGCCCGCAACAACGACCCAAACTCGGTGGCCATCTCAAATTGCGCCGCCAGTACCGACTGTCAAGGTCGAATGAGACATCGTCAGCGTACTGCCGATTGGTGCAACGTTCGAAACTCGACTCGGCTAGACTCGCCTGAAACATGGTCAACAGCAAATGTTCCTCCCGACTCTCGTACTGGTTCCCATACAGCGTGAACATGACCGTTTGTAATAACGTGTCGATCTCGCTGAGATTAACCATCCGGCAAAGAGAGGCAACATGTCGAGGTTCAGCTTGAAGCAGGAAGAAGAGGTTCGAGTAGAGCTGTCGAGTGAAGCGTCGAAGAGATAATGTCCGTCAGTATGAGTTAAAACGATAACGTCAAGAGTATATCCGCAACGGATGCTTACGGTCATCTTCTTCTCGTCCGGGTAAGGAATATCCTCTGCTTCAGCATCATCGAGCGTCTCCGCTATCTTGCTCTTCTGTCCGCAAAAGCAATCGCCCCGTCAGCTCTATCTCATTCACTGTCTCTACTTCCCAATGTCCCAATGGATGGAGACTGACCTCTTCTCCGCCCATCCTGTTCTGGATCAACAACGCGATCCGGCTGTCCAGGTACCTGACATCCCGCTCGAGGACAAAGTTCTTCTTGCTCTGCGCAGAGATCCGGGATTTGAGGTCTCGCAGACGTTTTTGAGCTAGTAGTTACAGCGATGACGATCGGTGCAAGGAGGATGAGGAAGGAGAAGAGACAGTCCGAAATATCAGTACTCCCGCTTGACCCGTTCAACTACCGTATCGATCTAAAACTTACTCCGGGCAAGCTCATCCTCAACCTCGACATCCTGCTCAGCAGCCATACTGAACACGGCATTCACGCTGTACCTATTCATCCCCCCTCTTCCTCTCCGGCTGACGCTACCCCCTGTCGTGTGGATGGTCGTGGTTGGGGAAGAAGGAGGAAAAGGAGACGGGTTGACATTGGCGTTAGAAGTGGGAAAAGGGTGGGTGGGGTTGAGAGGGGCGGTTTGGGTCGACATGTTGAGCGTGGGGGTGGTGTAGAGTTGGTCGGAGCTTGTTATGGGATCCTGATGGATTACGTCGGGGTGTCTAGATCTCTGTTCCCGTAGGTCTAGGTATCCCAATCGCAGTTGATTTCAATTCCCGAATTGGACGAAAAGGTCGGTGTTCGAGGTCGAGCTGGATATCTCTTCGTCCTGGACTATGCACGCCCGGGTATATCTGATCCGTCCCTTCGTCTTTCTCGAAAAACTGTATCCGTACTGTTCCCTTTGTCTCCTCTACACTCCTCTCTTCGAATCTTCACTCGTCTTAAAGGTATCCAAATTGACGTCCTTTCCACCCCGCAAACCGGGGAAGTTGATCCTTTGTCCCTTTCTCTGCTCGTACGCCTTGGCTTCAGTGAAAGGATGCGGAGAGCACGGAGATGATATGCGACGATGAAGATGTACGGTATCGAAGTCTGGTAGACTTGACAGCTATGGAGGTCTGGGCTCCGAGATCTCTTGTTATCGATCTCGTATGGTCGCAAGTTGCCGGAATGAGGTACTTTGCTATTGTTCGCGGAACGTGTTGTATGGGCCGCGAGATCCCCCTATGAATCGATGAGTGATTTCTGATATATGATCGGCCCTTCTCCTGACTCTCCTGTGTAGGAGATCTAGGAGATCGATTGAGAGTTTTGATGGCTGACGGGGAGAAGGAATGCTGGGGTGTTGTTGTTGTGATTTGATCAGGGGGGTCGTCCGATCAAAGGGAGTCGCGATTTCGATGTTGACCTTGACTCCGGTGGTGTACTGGGTCGTTCGGATGTTCAGCCTGGCCAGCTACGAACTAGACTGTTAAGCTATAGACTCAGGTTATGAATTCGTCGACCCATCCATCAACGACAAGCGACAAGAGAGCGAGAGCGAGAGACTTGACAATCACAGCGGGGCAAGGGGGGCCGGTTACAAAACACGCGCGCCGTTTAGAGGCCAGTTACAAGAGGTCCGTTACGATTTTGATCTAACTGCCTTTTATGGGCCCTATTTAGTCCCCTTTTTTTTCGCTAAGTCCTTTGACACCCTCAAATCGTTTTTTTTTTCTCTAAGTCCAAACTCTTCGACGCGTCATTGTCAACAAGTCCTTCAACGGCCACGTCCCCCAAATCCATGTTGTAACCCCTCTTTAACTACTGTGTTTATCATCGATTATCTTGCGATTATGGAATCCGACTTTCTTACCGATTATCCTCCTGCTGGTTGCACTCCTGACCAGCTTGCGAAACGGGTGGTCAGTTTAAGTGCATTCACCAGGCTATTAACCATCATTTAACATCCCCATTACTAGCCCAAATCGACGGTTGGTATTTGCCGATGCCAAGGTTGTGGGCCTTCAGGACGTCGCATCTCCGGCAAAACATATGTGACACATATCCGCCGCTTAGCGGCCAGTTTAGAGGTCCATAACAACCTCGTCCGGGGGAGCCTTTCCATTGGCTCTGGGGGGCCGCCAGACTCGCCCTTACAGCCGGCCCACACCACCCCCGTTATCTCGCCGTTACAACCCAATCTTCCCCCTCCCTCATTGCCGTCAGGTCACCTTGTGAATGCAGATGCCAACTACGAGGTCGACTACCCGGAAAACCCTATGAATCCTCTAACCCTCGATTGCGACCCACCAAACACTCCGGTTAACAGGCAGCCATCTCCAGCTCCATCACTTGCATCTCCCCCGTATCGGCCGGAGAGTCGGGCAGATAGGGGACCGATGGACATACCTTGTTCCAGCTATGCATCTGAGCTTCACGACTTCCGCCCGTTATGGCCGAGGGACGTTCCTCCAGCGATTGATAGGCCATGGATCAGCGGTGCAACTGCACCCCTAGAGGCCAGTTGCGAGGCCGATCGACCTACTACAACCTTCATGGAGAAGTTGATCTACGCCCACACCTTGTTACTAGCAGCCTCTGGGGTTGTGCGGCGAGCAGTGGAATACACCCTCAATACGCTCGTTATCTTGGTACTTACGACCCACTTAGCGGCCGGAGGTGTCAACCCATCCCCTCTGAGTGAAAATCCAGCGAAAACTCTTAGGACGGTCCGATCTCTAATGGGCGCAAATGTGCCCTCTATCACCCACCCTGTCTGCCCGAACATGGACTGTCAAGCCGTATTGTACCACATCAACTCCCCGGTCTCTCTATCATCAATCCACTCTCCAAAGCTCCCCCGAAATCTGCCAGATATCTGCCCAGAATGTGGGCACCTGATGGACCGATCGCAAGCGAAAACCTGGTGGCGTGACTTCGCTCGAATTCCCCTCAAATCTGAGCTCGAGCGTGTCCTTGCGCATCCAGGAATCGAGGAACTGATGTTCAACTGGCAAGAAAGACGGCAGTTAGCGGCCCGTTGGGATGCTTCACAACATCCTGGCCAGAAGATCTACCGGGACCAGTGGAGCGGTTCAGCGCTAGATCAGATCTTGGGCCCAGAGGGTAACCGTCTCATAAGTGACCCCCCAAAAGACGGTGAACCGCCAGTTATTTACATGAACCTTTACATCGATTGGGTCAATTGTCGATCTTCGATGTCTACGACTGGCTACTCTGTGGGTCATATCTCCCTCCAAGCGGTCAACTTACCACAGGGTTTGAGGGGGGTTCAGAACCTGATCATGTGCTGTGGCCTGACTCCCGGTGCGTTGATTCCTGGTTCGAAGAAGTCGGTTTCACTTCAGCTGCTTAACTGCCCTTTTACTACCCCTGTACAGGCCCGAGAGAGCCCCGTCATGTCAATCTCTGGAAATTCCTGATACCTACCATGCTAGAATTGCGTCAAGCTTGGGAAGAACCGGTGTCCATCAAGACTCCCGATTTTCCTAACGGCCGTCTATGCCGCCTGGTACTGGCTGCTATCTGCGCTGATAGACCAGCGGCAATTGCCGCAATAGGGGCTGGCTCGCAAACATCGCTCAAGGATATCTGTACTCGATGTGAAGCGACACACCAGCAACAGGCAGATACCCATGGTAAGTGTAGCCAGTTACAAGGCCGTAAAATGGCCCTCAATCGAACACCTACTTTTCTAGTCTTTCCATTTCGGAACTCGCACGAGCACAATCTGGGTGTGTTGAGGAAGGCCGACGCGGGGATAACCGCTGTGTTACAGGCCCGTCATGAGCACAATAGAGAGCAGGACCTCTTGGTGGAGCGCAACGAGTACGAACGTGAAGCTTGGGCTTTGGCTCCTAGACGTGGAAGAGGACATAAACCACCCCTATATCGGCCCGCAAAGTTCACCAACAGCATGATGAAAACCGCCCTCGAACACGCCCCTTACGCCGACGCTACAGGGCACTTAACGGCCTGTATGTTCCTTCCTTATTTCGACAAATTCCAGAATACTGTCTTCGATCCCATGCACAATCTCCTTCAGGGCAACAACAAAACCTACTTTCGAAAATGCCTACAACTGGGCCAGTACTTGGCGGTTAATGAGCCTCTAGAAGAGTCCGACGCATCATCGAGATCCAATACCGACACTGAAGATGAACTTCCACCTGCGTGTCGGCCTGTTAACGAGCCGGTAACGGGGCCCACAGAGGGTAGCATCGAAGAGATGACCCTGGAAAGGGCGATGCGAGACTCCCAATCAGCGGCCATCGCATCGAGCTCAACGGCCCGGACACGGCCCGATAATCGCCCAGTTATCCATCAGCCAAGAGTTCGAGTAGGTATTGGCACTGGGTCACGAGCCTTGGCAAAAAGAGGCATCCTGACTCCCGCAAATCTCGTCATGATCGGTGAAGCTATTGGCCATGTAAGTGTTGCAGATGCTGGCTGTTTGCCCACAGTTAACTGACCGAAGTCAATCACTCCAGGTGTTATTACCAAGCGGGATCTATCATCGCATCGGAACGGATTTCCTTGATGTGAAGGGGGGCACCAAGACGTCGGCTCAATGGAGGACCTTTACAGAGGTTTATGTGCCTCTTATCTGGCCTGTTATTTGGCGCCACAACGAACGGTTAGGCAGTACCAGCCTTCAGCACAACCCTCTACTCTCTGATGACGAGCTCGAGTGTTCTCTCTTGCTATCGGAGGTGAATATACTCGCATTAAGGCCTGTTATAAGCCAGTCAGAGGTGGAATATCTGGCCGAGGTTATCCGTCGCTGGCAGGATCTGGTTTTCAAGCTGCATCCGGGCATACAACGGACCCGTAACTGGCATCAATTGAGCCACTTAGTGCACGATATATTGCTACATGGCCCTAGCTACTCGCTATGGGTCTTTGCAGCCGAACGCCTGGGCAAACTTCTCAAGGCCATCAATACCAACGGCAAGCAGGTCGAAACCACCCTGTTACAGGGACGTTACAAGGCCGCCATGTCGTCACTCCTGCAGGCGCAGCTTCTGTGTGATGCCACGACCGACGCAGAACGGATAACTGTGCAGCAACTGGCTGATAAGTACCAGGCTTTTATGGAGAGTGATCAGTCTTCGGGCGCTGCTGCCAATAGATTACTCGACGAGATGAACAGGGATATCAAGGAGCTTGAAACCTGTCTGCAACTGGCCCGTTCAGCACCCGATAGCGAGCGGTTAACACCGTTCAATGGGGAACTCGTCGAAGCACCTAAGCACAGCCTGTTGGCCATCAGGACAAGGCTTAGCGAGATGGACCCCTCTCATGACTACTATCTTGAAGGAGAACAGCTCCCTAATCCCCCTTCCCCTCGCCAGATAACGCTCCGAACTGTGGCAGTTAGATACAGGGGCATAGCCAACCAAAACAAGACTTTCAAATCATGGCCGAGTGCAATTGGCTCATATCGGACCGCTAACTTGGCCGCTTACAAGGACACATTGTTCTGTTTTCGGAAGGCGTTTACGACTCATAACGCAAACACTACTCCAGGGGGAGGTCTCTGGCTTTTGACAGCTGTGTATGACGTACAACTGGTCAGTTACGAGGGCGATACAAGCACGAAACTGGTCTGCATGGGTCGTCGAGCTGTACCTCTTGGTGACCATCGTGTACCGTCTATGCTTCCGGCTTATTACCAGCAGTGAGTGCGACCTATTACTAGCATGTAACGAGGCAGTTAATTGACCGTTTTCAAGCCA